TGTATAGAGGCGATGCCTCGCTGCAGCGGTCGCAAGTTTGACTCCGGCTTGCAACCCTTTGCTGCATGTCGCCCCCCACTCTCTCTCCCCATTTCACACTGTCCTGTACATTAAAGGCAAAAAGCCCAAAAAATAATCTTTAAAAAAAAAAAAAAAAAATCTGGAAGTGATTTGGCGATTTGAAAGGTGACGACACACAGACAAAGACGGTCTGCAAAATACGTTGTCTGTTGGTGCCAACCAGGAGAGGAAACACAACAAGCTTTTTCCATCACCTGAAAAGGTGGCGTCCCAGTGACTACACTGAAAACTGGGCCCTGGGTTTTCAGCGGCTGAGCACTTCTGCTGCTGTGAGCAGCGCTAGCGGGGCTGCACCAAAACAGAAATCAATAGTGTCCTGTTTTGCCGCCATAACAAACGAAGTGTCATACTTTCTAGCCCTAGACACGATGCCCATGAGCACCGTGTATTCAAAAAACTAATTAAAGTGCTAGACTGCAGGTAGGAGCTCCGAGGCAGGAAATATTCTTCTCAAACTGCTCTGCTCAGCTTTACAACGAGTGCAAAGGCAAGCTGGAGAATCATTTGGTTTCTTCAGGATACTTTTCAAACTCACAGCATTATCAAATTATATATCGTGATAAATATCAATCAATACAGGAAAAATTATCGTGATAATAACTTTTTGCCATATCGCCCAGCCTTACCTTTAGTGTTACAGTTTTTTGTAATATACTATAAATCTCAACATGCACACTCAGCAGGACAGAGCAGACATCTAAAACCAAGTTCGACAAACAGGCAAACAGTGACCTCACACACCAGTCACACTGTCAAAACGAGCCTCTTTGTAAAACACACTGCAGACTCACACAGAGGGAAGAAATTAGATGTAGAGAAAGAGGGGACCGAGTGAAGAGGGAGCCAGCGCTACCACACCTCACATCAAAGAAACCAAATCATCCCCACTCCGTCTCTGGCTGTACCTTTTAGTGCGTCGGAACATGCTGCTCGTGTTGGGTATCTAGGCGTAGCTCGGAGCAACAGGAGCAGCAAAAGCTGAGCGGCGAGGGAGAAAACAGTCACAAAGCAGCAGCTTTCTGCAAAAATGTCATTGCAGCGCAACGCATACTGTAGCTCCGAAAGCTTCAGATATGAGCTGGTGTCTGGGCAAGTGTGGGCAAGTAGCAAAGGAGGCAGACAGTGACAGAGAGGGAGGGATGGAGGGAGGGTGGGTCTGTTTTTAGCGAGGAATAACAAAAGGCAGCAGGGGATTGTGGGTCGTTTTCTCAAGGCTAAGGTGCTATGGTACAGAGTGTAATTTATTTGAGGTTGTCTCTGTGCTCTGAAGGAACCTGATGGGGAGTTAAAAGCTTTTCACTGCAGGCTATGGACACCATGAATGGAGAGCAGAGAGGAAGGGGAGGTGAACTCGTCTCAGCAGAGCAAAGACGTGACTTTGGGACAAGGTGATGTGGACTCTTACATAACTGTGGAACAGATGTTGAATAGAGTCAAACATTAAAAAAGCATAACTGATGACGATGTATGTCTCACACACGCACGCGGACTCTCTGAATGGCTGTTCACCCATGAATGGATGCAGAGTGAATGTGAAGCTCAACTCCACTGAGCTCATCTATAATGGATGTTGGGCTGATAGTACGAAGGAACACAGACTGAGTCCAAGTACTGGTGGAAAGTGAAAGACAACAGTGAGATGGACAGGAGAACACAAACATGAGCTGGTCTGCAGCTTCATTTCATGTTTGATTACCCATGATGACTCGGGACGAGAGGACGGCAGGGAGAAGATGGATGGGGCAGGGAAATGGGAATGGGGTGGAGGCAGAGGTAGTGGGCTGTGACCACCAACACGCACACACAGAAATACACTGACACACACACACACACACACACACAGATTTACTCTTACTCAGTGGAGCAAAGATAGTCTAATGAAACACTTAAGAGCCATATTAACATGCTGTAAGTCTTATTTAATACTCTCATCATAATAATCTGTGCATCCGTAATGGAAGGAACAGCCAAGTTGCCAGAAGAAAATGTCGGCAATGTACTTTCCTGCAAACCACAAATATGTTACATATGTATGTTCAGAAATTTTATCCTATCTGGAGTCTGATTTGTGGGTCCATCATTAAGTTTATGCCTGATACAAACAACAAAACCGGTTGTTTTTTAGCAACCCGTCACTGCCAGGATAGCGCCACGAAAGGCGACTGAGACATCCCTGCCCAAACATGATCTTTTCCTCACCACAGACGATTCGTTTTTGTGCCTAAACCTAACCACACTTTAACAATACCACTCTAACAACAATGACATGCAAATGTAACATATCCGTGGTTTGCAGAAACGCACAATGCTAACATTTATCCTGGTGATTGGGTAGATATTAAACCTGCATTCATTTCTTTTTCGGCCACTTTGGGGCAGCAGGAACAACTTGTGTTGTATCACCTTGTAACATAAACTTGTTACCAAACAATTGCCTATTTACACATATCAGCATTTATCTGAAGTCGTGTTTCTGGCTATCTAATGAATGTAAGTCCCATTTCCACTGTCTTTTAGCTCTATTTTTGGTCTCCACCAACTCCCAAGGGAAATACCTGCCTCTTTAGCTGTAAATAATAAAGTAATTAATTTTACCTTCTATATTTTTTTTCTCTTTACTCTTTTATTGTTAATCTATTTTCTTTACTATATTTTATATTTTATTGCTCTGTAAACACTTTAAATAACCCTGGTGTATGAAATGTGCCACACAAATAAAGCTGCCATGCCTAGGTGCTCCACTACATTCACCAGCTGGTCACTAACTGTGTCTGCAGTTTGTTGCTGAGCAGGCAGTGGACAGTGTGTTTTTAGAGTTTACTCTATGACAGCAGCCGCCTCGGGTGACTGGTGACCACTGTGATGAGAGCTGGGAGACTCAACCACAACAATACAGCTGCAGAGTCAAATGATAACTCTCTGTGGGTTCAACACTATGCGTGAGCCTTTTTACATAATCATTTCATCTATTATTGAAGCAGAAGCAAACAACCTTTCCCCCTCTTGGATTTCTAGGTGGTACAACTGTTGGCGCCGCTATCGTAATGACAACTAGATCGCTTTCCTTAGAGCCTAAGAACTTCCAACAACATAGCACACACTCCATTTTGTTTTCCACACTCACACCGTCCACCATTTCTGCTACTGTGGATAGTAACTGAAAAATTGTACTGATACTTTGTTAACTGGAGATAGCTACTGATCGCTACCGGGGAAAACGATAGCACTATCCTCTCTCTGTTTTCGTAAGGCAATGGTTGATGCATTTCCTTTGTGCTGTAAATGAAGCCTTAATGTTCCCATAAAATCGTACCCACTGGCACACAGAACTGCATAGTGAAATCAAGACTTGTGTTGTGTTTACAACGGGTGCGAATAAAACAATTCGGGCTAGTGAATTAGATGTAAAGTCAACACAAAGACGTTTTTAGACGCAAATTCCTGCCAGGCGGTATGATGTAAGTGATGCAAATGAAGCGAAATTTGCAAATTAAGCAGCGTAAATGAAGCAGTGGAGCGATTTTGTGTCATACGCTTATTCTCAAGACCTGAAAAATCGAAACTTCAGCAACCTATTCACGCTGCGTTAGTCAATCAGCATTGAGATCCTCTGGGGACATAAGACAGCAAGGATGTACCAGCGGAAGTTCAATCATTGATTCAGCGATTTCATGTACATATGATGCAAGTCAACACAAAATATTATAGTGTTCAAACTTGCGCAAATAACATGACGTGAAAATTGGCATCCCATTTGGTGTGAACACATTACAGGGAACCAATCTAAATGCAGATGGTGTTATTATTTTATAGCTATTATATTATGCAATAACCATTTATTTCATAATGTTAAGTCAAAGCTACTTAAATATAAAAAAAAAAACGATCAGCAGCTTCAAGTATCAGCAGCAAAAATGTACTTCTAAGATCAAAAGCAGCAGAACAACCCCCATGTTATATCATAATAGACTAGATTATTAGATTATTAATACTGATGGATTAATGTGTAAACAGTTTTTTACAATATATTTGTATAGTTGTTGGGAAGGGACTGTTAACTCGTATTTATACTACTGGCTAGTTTAATCCACAAAAATAAAACAAATTTATTTGTTCTTATTTTAAATCTCTCCCTGCAAAGCAACTAGAAACTACAGTGTTCAAACAAACACAGTAAATAGTTCAATATTTCCCTCTGAAACGTCTCTGTTTTCTTTTTTCCATCACTTCTTTGCTGCTTCAAAGCTTATTTTGTTTTGCCGTGGGTAATTTAACTGCGCTGTATGTTTTACTGCATGTCTGATTTACTACCTTACTGTATTGTTTGTTTTTTCCAATCACTGTGTGTCTGGTTTTGTAGTTTATTTTCTGTACGTCTGTTGCCTGTGGGTTAGCTATAGCCGAGCTAAAGCTGATTGCCAATACACTGATAATGTGACAACCAGACAGCCTTAGAGCGTGTACGAGGCAGACAGACAGAGGAGCAGAAGACGGGATTTAAAAAACAGGGATAGGTTAAAAAAAGCTAAAGGGTGTAAAGGAAGCAGAGAGCAAAACAGAAACAGATTAATAACCAAGCAAAAGGAAGAGAAGAGGGGAGATAAAGAGGAAGGACGTGAGCGACTGGAAGAGGCAGAATGACTTCAGCACCATGGACAGCCTCCAGAGCTCAGGGCTGGCTTTAATCAGACTCCGACAGACTGCCAGCATCACTCCAGCCGACCTCGTCCTCATTCACACAAGGACCACGCTCTCCACACCACAAGCACCACTGAAGCATCCTCAGAGCTTTTCAACACACAGCGTGCGACTCAAGCTCAGCTGCTCGTCTAGGTGTGATGTTTTTCTGTCATGGAGGGAGCCAGTGTCTCCCCAGAGAGGAGGGAGAAGAGGGAGGGATGAACCAAGGTAACACTCACCTGCTGCTCTTGCGAGGCAGTGGCAAATCCTTCTGGAAGAAACACAAAGAAAAAGAAAAAGAAAAGAGATCAGGTACAAAAAAAAAATCTAACATACACATTAGCAATACAGATACGTGATTTCAGTGTTTCCCGCAGAATTTGAAACTATTCAGCAGCAGTTTGTGGAACTTTGAGTCGTGGAGTGAATAACAAAGCTGATCAGATCAGACTGATGGATGAGAGGAGCAGCTGCTGCAGAGGCAAACGTGTAGATCCAGCAAAATGCACCTACCATTCTGCTGTTCCGTCTGTACCACAGAACGCCCTGTGCTCCGACAGTGTGGTGCAATGAATACTTGAACAGTACATATATTTCAACAGCGCTCCTAATAAGCTGTCCAGCTGTATGGGAAACCTTGCACTTACACCCCATGACTAGTAACTGGCTATTTTCACCAAAAATCTTTTGAAGAGCATCTTACTCCTTAAATTTGCGACCCAGTCACTACAATAATCACTAGATGGAATTGTGCGTTTCTGCAAATCACGAATACATTACATTTGTGCGTTATTATGTAGAGAATACGTTGAAACTTAACGTTTCTTCACGCACAATGCTGTGGTTAATGTGTGGTTAGGTTAGTCAGGAACTGCAGCAATGTCTCAGTAAAAATCAACCACATTTTGTGGCACTATCCTGGTGGGAAATGCTGAAATGTTTAGATAAAAACAACCGTTGTTTGTTGGGCTATCTTTGCAGGAAACACAGCCATGTTTTGGTAAAAAACAACTACTTTTTGTGGCACTATCCCGGCAGGATATGCAGAGATGTTTCGTTAAAAACAACCACTTTTTGTGGCACTATCCCAGCAGGATTTGCAGAGATGTTTCGTTAAAAACAACCACTTTTTGTGGCACTATCCCGGCAGGATTTGCAGAGATGTTTCGTTAAAAACAACCACTTTTTGTGGCTCTAACCTGGCAGGAAACGCAGCAATGTCTCGGTAAATAACAACCCACTTTTTGTGGCACTAACCTGGCAGGAAATGCAGCAATGTCTTGGTAAAAAACAACCACTTTTTGTGGCACTATCCTGGTGGCAAATGCTGAAATGTTTAGATAAAAACAACTGCTTTTTGTTGGGCTATCTTTGCAGGACACACAGCCATGTTTTGGTAATAAACAACCACTTTTTGTGGCACTAACCTGGCAGGAAACGCAGCAATGTCTCGGTAAAAAACAACCACTTTTTGTGGCACTATGCTGGCAGGACATGCAGAGATGTTTTGGTAAAAACAACCACTTTTTGTGGCACTAACCTGACAGGAAACGCAGCAATGTCTTGGTAAAAAACAACCACGTTTTGTGGCACTACCCTGGTGGGAAATGGTGAAATGTTTAGATAAAAACAACCGCTTTTTGTTGGGCTATCTTTGCAGGACACACAGCCATGTTTTGGTAATAAACAACCACTTTTTGTGGCACTACCCCGGCAGGACATGCAGAGATGTTTTGTTAAAAACAACCAATTTTTGCAGCACTAACCTGGCAGGAAATGCATTAATGTCTCAGTAAAAAACAACCACTTTTTGTGGCACTATCCTGGCAGGACACACAGAGATGTTTTGGTAAAAACAACCACTTTTTGTGGCACTATCTCGGCAGGAAACGCAGCAATGTCTCGGTAAAAAACAACCACTTTTTGTGGCCGTAGCAGAAAATGCAGTGACCTTTTGTTAAATATAACTGCTTTTCGAGGCACTATACCAGCAGGAAACACAGTGATGACTTGCTAAGAAAAACAGTTTCATTGTTTTTTCGTCTCAAAAAATGGCCTGCCTCTGTCGTTTAGCATGATACCATGTATGTAACCATAAAGTGCAAGACCCCTTTAACAGGGCCCTTGCTTTAAACTGAGTCAGCTGGAAACATTAAAAGTAAGCCAGAGATAATGTTTTCAATCAACTCACAGACATACTGTGAAGCTAGCTGATGTAACTCACTGGGTAAAGCTGATAAAATCTGCCAGCAACAGCTCTCAGTTCAAGCAGCAAAATCTACAGTCAACGGGCTTGAAAAGACACTGCTTTTGTCTACGTCTGTCTGAAATCAAAGACCTACTGTTTTGAAAATTTACTAAGAATTTTGAGCAGTTAATCCACTACTGCTTTCCTCATTGAGCTTGACAGACCTCGCAACATGAGCTGAGCAGGGTGGGGCTGAGTGAGCGGTTAATTACTACCCAGTGAACCTGGGGCTTTTGGAGGCCCATGGGGCTCCTGGGCCGTGGAAAACTTACCCAGCTGGTATATCCACTAACAAGGTAATAAATGCCACTGTATGTACATGACGTATTTGCATGTGTGTTTGTTTTCAAACCAGTCAGGCTGTTAATTTCTGCCACTGATTTGAGCCAGGGCTAATCTCCTGAGTCCAGATGGACAGAGTACATAGAGCAGCAGCAGCAGACACTCACTGCACCGAATGAAAACAGTGTGAGCGGAGCCAGATCTCATGCCAGCACAGCCTGGCTCTTTACAAAACCCTGCACGCTGAGATAGGAGGAAGAGGGAGGGCGCAGAGGGTGTAAACAAGGGTGGAGTAGAGGCTGAGAGAGAGGAGAGATCATGCTTTCATGCCCACAGCCTTACCCTTGGGTATGGGTACTCTGGCTCTATGTGTGTGTGTGTGTGTATGTGTGTCTGTGTCGTAATAACTGTCTCAGATGTGAGCCATCACACAGTGTATAGCAGCAGATGCAATTAATGCATTAGCTGCCTCACACATTCCCCTGTCACATGCAGGGTAATGTTGTTAACGTGCTGTTAGCGACGCATCGACCACCTCCTAACCACAGTCAATGCAATTATTACGTTAACCTTCAGAAAAAGATTGTGTGTGCGCCTGTGTGTGTGAGCATGATCTCCACTGAAGCACAAAATAAGTGTTACAGTGTGGCTGCCTGAAAGCTCAGTGTTACAAGGACAAACCTCCGACACAGCAGAGTGTTTTTATGCTGTCAGTCACCATCCACGAGGTTGAGTCTATGTCACTGATAACAGTTACCTCCAGAGAAGAAAGCTGAGTGGTGAGGCACCACAAGAGAGCGGGAAACACTCAACCGATAAGAGGAGTAGAAAATAATAATCTCGCCTTCTTCATAAGCCAGTCACAAGCTACACAGACGTCTCACTGCATGTCTCGAGGGTTTACGTGTTAACAGAGACAAATCCCTCTTTACAAGGTCAACTGAATATTCAACCTATTGATCCCTCTTCACTTTGTCCTTCATTGATCAGGCTAATTGACCCTGAGTTGTCAGAGCTCAGAGGAAGATGATTTACAAGAGCCAGAGGCACCAAGAAAGGCTTCCCACTGATGAGGAGGGTTAACTATTCAAACAAACCCTGACTCGACCTGACAGTCAGTGCTGCTGTTACAGAGCAGCTACACAGTGTAAACACAGCTACATGAAGTCTCAGCATGTCATATGAAATACAATTAATTTTTACATGTGGAAATACAATTTTCAAAGTCTCAAAATATATATAATTATTAGATTGATTTAATCGCCTAACTTTAGTCTAATTCTTAGACCCATCACTGTGTTTCCTGCCAGGATAGTGCCACGAAAAGCAGTTGTTTGTTACTGAGTCATTGCTGCATTTCCTGCCGGTGTAGGACCACCAAGAGCAGTCATTTCAAACAGACAATGCTCCCTTTTCTGCCAGAATAGTGCCACAAGAAGCGGTTGTTTTTAACTGAGGCATCGCTGCATTTCTTGCTGGTACAGAGCCACCAAGAGCAGTCATTTTAAAGAGACAACACTCCCTTTTCTGCCAGAGTAGTACCATAAAATGTGGCTGACTTTTACCGAGACATCGCTGCATTTCCTGTCCTGATATTGTCACGAAAAGCTGTTGTTTTTTACCGAGACATTGCATCATTCCCTGCCACTAAAGAGCCACTAAAAGCAGTCATTTTAAAAAGACGATGCTCCCTTTTCTGCCAGTATAGTGCCACAATAAACTGTTGTTTTTCAGCGAGACATTGCTGCATTTCCTAATGGGATAGTGCCACAAAAAGTGGTTGTTTTTCACAGAGACAGCACTATGTCTCCTGTTGGATTAGTGCCAAATAATAATAATTGTTTTTTACAGAGACATCACTGTATTTCCTGCTGGGATAGTGCCAAAAATAGGGATTGTATTTGACAGACACATTGCTGCGTTTCCTGCCAGTATAGGGCCGCCAAAAGCCGTAATTTTAAAGAGACAACACTCCGTTTTCTTCCAGGATAGTGTCACAAAGAGTGGTTGTTTTTACCAAGGCATTGCTGCGTTTCCTGTCGGTATAGTGCCACAAAAAGCAGTTGCTTTTTAGCGGTCATTTTAAAGAGACAATGCTCCCTTTAATGTCAGGACAGTGCCACAAAAAACGGTTATTTTATACAGAAACATTGCTGTGTTTCCGGCTAGGATTTTGCCCCCAAAACTGGCTATCTTAAGACAAAACACAATCTTTTCCTAACCATAACCAAGTGCTTTTGGTGCCTAAACCTAATCACACGTTAACCACAGCATTGTTAAAGGATATAGAAACTAATATACAAATGTAATCTATGGTGTGGTTTGCAGAAATGTACAATGCCAACATTTACGAAATGGGAAATTGGCTGTAATGTCCTCCTTCAGCTCAATAGTGCACTGTCAATGTAAAGTGCTCATATTGTTTTAAGTGTCTGACAAAGAAAGAAAGCACAATCTGGTCTGTTTTGTCTAACCAAGTATCATTCAAGGAGAAGTCTTATTCTGAATTCTCGGGAGTTTCAGGAAGACAATAACAAACTGAACAGGTCAGGCTAAAGCTAAAGGAAAAGGTTTTATTTTACTGTTGTGATCCTTTTCATAATGTTGTCAGAGACTTACAGTAACAAACTGAGCCTGTCAGTGGCAAAAACAAGCACTTTTACTGAGGCATACACTAAAGAGTATATAGGCACACATTTTGTATATCTTTAGAAGGTACTGTCTGCATTGCAGTCGTATAA